CTCTCTCTCTCTTTAAAAAAAAATGAATAACTTGAGTTTAAGTTGCTTTAAAATCTCTTTCTATATTCCCATCTACATACTTCTTGAGACTGGCTTTCTTCATTATAATAATATTAAAAGAATATGGAATAGGTTAGATATACATTATATCCTACAAATAGTGCTATAATGAATTCAACATAGACTAGATAAAATAATAAACATGAAGAAAACTAGTTGATCATAATAAAAACTTAAAAAGTAAATATACAAAGTGTTTATAAAATGTGTGTATTCTGGATAGTAAATAGATTTACTACCTTCTTCATAACTTTTTTGTTTAATTACAATTTGGGATATAATGATAGTAATAGTGATTCTCTATGCTAATTACCTATGTACATTCTTTCTATAAATAGTACATATAGTTTTTTACAATTCTCTTTTTTCTATCTTATGTTTGGTCTGTTTACATTTACATAGACCAATAAAACAGAAAAGACGGCTGGGGTTGTAGCTCAGTGGTAGAGCACCTGCCCTGCATGTGTGAGGCACTGGGTTCGATTCTCAGCACCACATAAAAATAAATAAATAAAGATATGGTGTCTATCTACCATCAAATAAATATTAAAAAACACAAACAAAAAAAAAAAAAAAACAGAAAAGAGAGCCCAGAAGTAAACTTAAGCACATACTGTCAGATGACCTGGAACAAGTGTGCCAGAACTACACAATGGGGAAAGAAGAGTCTCTTCAACCAACACTCCTGAGAAAACTAGATACCCAAAGCAAAAGAATGAAACTGGACCCTCATCTTACACCACACACAAAAATCACCTTGAAATGTATTAAATTTCAAAACATTGAGACTTAAAACTAAAACTTCTAGAAAAAATAGGAGATATAAGCTTTATCGCACTGGTCTTAACAACGATTTCTTGAATATGGCACCAAAATCACAGGAAACAAAAGCAAAAATAGTGTTCGATTTTTATTTACTGAAAGGTAATTAAAAATTTTTATAAATGTTTATATTTATTGAATGAATTATAGAAAAGGGGATTGTGTTTTCAATGTCTTTATTGCTATTTATTCTGTAAAATTATTTTTATTGAACTTTTAACAAGTGTTAGTATATGATGGCTTTAAACTTACTGGGGTCCTACCACACAAGTTGAAGCCTTATTTAAAGCATCCATACAGAAGAAGAGATGGTGCCTTCACCATCTTAAGCTTCCCCAGCATAGTTTTAGGAGTCACCTTTAATTCCAACATTTGTTCTGTTTCCGTAGGGAAATAGGGGAAATCAACAAGGAGGAATTCTGAGTCTGTGGCATTAGCAGGAGTGGGTGATCCCAGAGAAAGCTGTGCACTGTTAAGACTCTGCTGCCACCGTGTGGCCATTTTGTTTATGACCTGTAGGTAGAAGAGCAACCTGAAGCTTTTTTTTGTCTCTCAACCTCAAAGCATTTCCTATTCTGTCTTTCCCATCTAATTACCCAGTAAGCTCTGTGAAATCTAGCAAGGCCTCTGTCTTTCTCTATTTCATGCTTGCTTTTTAAATTCATTCCCTGTTTTCAGGGAATTTATTACTGATAAATGAATGTGGGCGACCAAAGTGTCACCCAAACTGCAACAAAGAAATGAATTATGCAATTAATTAAAGCACATCTGTGTTCAAATAAAAGTTTTAAAATTGTAGCAATAAAATATAAATTATTTTAATCCTTGTCACCCAGAGAGAATATCACTTCAAATGCAGCAATTAGCAAGACACAAGCCATCCTGGATATATTTCCAATTATGTTGCCAGAATGTAGATTAATAATTTATGGAGTGGTAAAAATGAGTAAAAGTCTTTTAAAATGTGATGTTTGGAGATCTTGGCCTTCATAAATCTCCATTATAATCACATAGTAGTTTTACATTGATAATATACATTACACCTCATCTGAACAAAGATGAAACATGTCTGATTAACAAAAGGAGAGAAGAATGGAGTCTGTTTCAGAAGCTAGAGGCTTTTTGCCAAGCTCTTCCTTCTCTGTAGGTATCTTCTTAGTAGTAAGAATTATGAAGAGGATCTAAGCCAAATGTCCACTTTAAGTCATTCTGTGCAACCTATATGGAACTTTGCAAAGTCAATCTTCCTTGGAGACTTCCCACATACATCAGAAAACTATCTTTGAAAAATGTTGGCACTATGCCAGATACAGTAGCACTCACTAATAATCCCAGTGATGTGGGAAGCTGAGACAGGAAGATTCCAAATCCAAGGCCAGCCTGGAAAAGTTAGCAAGACTCTGTCTCAAAATTTTTAAAAATTAAAAGGGCTGGGGATATAGCTCAGTGGTAAAGTGCCCTGGGTTCAATTCAATACCCAGCATCAAAGAAAAGAAAGAAAGAAAAAGAAACATGTTGGCACTATACAAAAAATCAATTCAAAATGGATCAAAGACTTACATATAAGACCCCAAATTGTGAAAATACTAGAAGAAAACAGAGAAATGCTTCAGGAAATTAATCTGGGAAAATAATTTTTGGATATGACCCCAAATGCACAAGCAAAGAAAAGAATTAACAGAGTGAAGAGACAGCCTACAGAAGAGGAGAGAACATCTGAATCATTCATTCAATTAGGGAGTAACATTCAGAATATGTGAGGAACTCAACAGCAAAAAAAAATCCAATTAAAAATGGATTATTAAATGATCTGAGTCAACTTTTCTCAAAAGAAGATATACAAATGGCCAACAAGTACATGCAAAAATGTTCACTATCACTGATCATCAGGGAAATGCAAATCAAAACCACAACGAACCTCAATTTGTCTCACCCTAGATAGAATGGCTGTTACCAAAAAGACAAAAAATACAAATGTCCGCAAGGATGCAGAGAAAAGGGACTCTTCTGCACTGCTGATGGGAATGTAAATTAGTACAGACATTATCAAAAACAACATGGAGGTTCCTCAAAAAATTAGAACTAGAACTCCCAGATGACTGAGCGATTTCATTATGGTATATATACAGCCAAAGGAAATGGAATAAGCACATCATAGAAACAGCATTCACACATTTACTGCTAATCACAATCACCAAGATATGAGATCAACTTAGGTGTCCATCATGGATAAAGGAAAAAAGAAAATGTGGTATATTTACATAATATAATAATATTCAGCCTTCAAAAAGAACAAAATCCTGTCATCTATAGCAAAATGGATGGCACAGTCCCATCACTTATTTTCAAGTGAAATAAGTCAGGCATAGAAAGAAAAAAATCATACATTCTCAGATGTCGAAGCCTAAAAAGTTTATCTAGTAGAAGTAGAGAGTAAAATCATGGTTACCAAAGTGTGTGGAGAATGGAGGACACTGACGGAATCATTAACAGCCACAGGGTGCAATTGGAGAGGAGAACAATAGCTGACAACGACTACTAAAGCTTTTCAGAAGAGAGCATTTTGAATGTTCCCAGCCCAAAGGAATAAAAATGTTTAAAGTGATGGTTAGGCCAGTTACCTTTATCGGATCATTACACAGTGTACATGAGTATGGAAATTATCAGAGTTGACCTCCATACATATGTACAATTATCATGTGGCAATTAAAATTTTTAAATTTTTTTAAATGTTGGCTACTTGAGTTGCCTATCCCTAAAATCATCCTAAAATTGTACTGGTTGATGTCCTAATGGATAGAGCCTCATTTTTCCTTTTTCTTTAGGTTTAACTTGCTTATTGGATCATGCACTAGGCTTCTAACCCACCATTGAAGGTGCACAGGACACATGAATGATGGCACAGGGCTGCTTTCTTTTTCTCCCCTCCCTGGAGCCTGTTAGATAGCAAAAACATTGTTACGGAACTATCAGAACAACTTTTTATAAGTAAGACTTTTTAAATATTTTACAATGACGTATCATTTATTAGGGTTAAAATTAAAGATAAGCTATGAGGATCAACTTTCAGTTTTATATTTTCAAGTTCATTCAATTAGGAAATGCTACGAAATGGAGGCAACAATGGGAACAAGGACATGATCCATGGCAAAGGAGGGGATGGCATGAGATGCAATGGAGCAGGCACCAAAGAAAACCTGGGGAAAACAGAACTAAAAACTAAACTCCCTGGGGAGCCCACGAGCCCCCCTGATACCCTCAGAAAGCTCAGAGGTCAAGTAAAATATCCAGCCTAGAAGAAGCCACTTAGGCAAAAGAGGACATTTGCAATAATAGGCACTGCAAGAAGGCAGAATGTGCGTTCTGGGTGCTAATTATCCCTCAGGAGTTATTTTTAGAGTACAGATGCTCATGGAGTTAACTAATGGACATGACATGCATGACCACCACCACCACTCACTCATTCAACTAGCCCCAGAAGAGCAATGAGAGAGCACATTGAATCATGATTATCAATATGTCTAGCGTCTAGAAAATAGTGAGTGGTGGAAGGGAGGAGGGAGAAACAATGGAGAAGGGCCAGTGGCTCCTCCATCGGCCATGGGGGAAGGGCTACATCTGATCTGGGAGCAAAGCTTGTCTTTCAAGGAAGAGAACTATGTACATACCAATAGTAGGAGTCTCCCTGGGAATTTCATACAGGAAAGAAACTGCTAACACATAATAACTTAGGTTTGCACAAACTGAAGAGCTCCTCCTCCTTCCGGGACTGTGGACCTCTTAGTTCAAAGTGTCACCCTTCCCCGGAAGTCAAGCCAAGCCTCCCAAGAAGAGGCCTTGGCACCTTCGCAAGAAACAGAATCTGCAAATCTTGTCCATACCCCATGCCAGCCACCTAGTGAAGCCAGGAGGAAGGTGCTGAGCAGGGAACCTCAGACTCGATTCGTTCAAGGAGAAAAACCCTAACAAGTTCACTGAAATAGTCAAACACCATCTTTTTATTCAGACTGGAATATGCAGTCATGTATATTTTCATCTTTGGAACAGGTGGTTTAATATGCAAATAAAGTAATAGTGTCAGAACCGTATCCTAGCAGTAGCTACTTTGCAAACGTTACCATGGCACCAATTCAACAGTGTTCTTAGAGGCAGCCACACCTCAGCAAGGTCTTTTTAACTTGGGACAGCAAAGTTCAAATGAACTATTAGACACACACTGCAAAAGAGTCCTGAACTGAGTTAGGAGGGGAATCTTTACAGCACGATTGCCCTCCACAGCTACTAGAAACGACATGGAACTTTAAGGAGAGAAAAAGAAAATGGACCATCTCCCATAACACCTGGAATGTGATCCAAGCCTGGAGACAAAATGATGGTAATTATAACTGCTAACATTTGTTTTTAGCTGCTAACAGATTGTGCCCAGATTGCGAAGGGCAAACTTCATTCTCCAATCACTCTTGTGCGAACTGTGCTTTGACAGTACTCACTAAATCCTAGCTGGGTGAAAGGAGAGCAGACTGTCCTTGCGGGTGGTTCATTTATGTTAAACTAAGAAAGGGCTGTCCTCCCATGGCCCCAGTCCAGGGCCCCAGTCCAGGGCCACTCACAGTTGGATGTGAGAGAGCATCCTCCAGCAGAATGGGCTCTAACAGGTCTCTAGTTCTCACTGCCAGCTGATCTGCTCCACAGAGGGTGACAGGCACTTCCCAAGCACAGACAAAGCCGAAGGTGAAGGACTCAGCAGGAGGGATGCAGGCTGCCAGGGGAAGGCACCTGGCTTGTGAACTGGTCAGGGTCGCTAAGGTAGGCCCTGGGCTACAACAAAGCACATCTCCTCCTGGTTAGGGGAGAATGAAAGGACAGACATCAAAGGTTAACAATAAAGATAGTCTGTGATCAATGACTAGTGAAATAAGGAGCACTTAAAATTCTTTAAGAGCTCAAAGGGACAGGAATTCTTTTCTGCTTACTCTGAAAAGGGTGAAAAGAGCTGGGGGGTGGGGGACACTAGAAAAAGTAAAGACTTCATCATCAGGGAACCATGGTTGGTTGACACTGAAAAGCCCTCACAAGAATGAGAGTCCCCCTCTTATACCAAAGCCACTGCTCAGAAGATCTCACTAAAATAGTAACATGTATCTTATGGCTAAAATAGAAAAAAAAGTGAGAGGTAAGGAAAGGATTGTTCAGAAAAGCAATCAGGAATTTCCATTTTGCTGCCTTTATCTTCAGACACAAAAACTTTTGCTTTCCTAAAGGGTAATTATGAGACCATAGATAGAGTTAATTTCACACGTACACCAGCTTAAAATACAATAATTAAGCAGAAAAGGGCCTCTTAGCATGGTTTCCATAACATTTTAGCCAAGTCAATCTGCAAATTTTCTGTGGGTGGGCTGGATTTGTAATCTCAATGGCAACCTGAACATTGGGTGTGCCACTCAGCGGCTCGCCACATTGAGGGCACAATATTCAAAAAAGTGAGAGCTTGATTTCATCAAGTTTTGATAACCAGAGAGATGCAGTCTGATGAGCAAGGCTGAAAGGAGATCAAGAGAGAAAACAACACTCAGGAATTAGTATTAGGTTCCAAAAGATGGGCCCACATCAGGGATTAGATCCAGTTTGCTGGAGGAAAACCTCTTACAAAGGCCAGGAAGCCTCAAGGGCAGGAATTCAGTTGCGTCAGGAAAATACAGCATTAAGGAGGAAATGGAAACAAATGCCCAACCCTGTGGACTAAGCTGACATGGCAGAAATTGGGAGAAATCTGCAGTCTGGTGGATATATGCTACCAGAGCTACTGTAGGGATATTAGCCATAGGATACCAGTGATAGAAATGAAGCCACATTTCACCCACAGCTGGATCAAGTCTCTTAAAATATTTTCTTTCCAGGACAGGATTAACAGAGGAATTCTGTAGCTCTCAGCCTTTCAAATACAAGCTGCATCAAATACAGCAATGATAGAGCTTATCTAGGCTGAAGAAGACACAATTGATCAAAGTGCTTTCATGTGGAAAGCCATAATAAATATTTGAAATGTGTTCAATTAGATTTTGAAAAGTGAAAAATATATTTTGTTGCAATGGTCAGTTTTACCTCATTTGTGTTTTCTGCCTTATTTGTTTTGCTATCTGGGCAAAGTTAAATGTAAACAATGAAATTATAAACAAAAAAATATAGATTTTTTTAATATTTGTTTTTTAGTTGTAGGTGGACACAATATCTTTATTTCATTTTTATGTGGTGCTAAGGATTGAACCAAGTGCCTCACCTGTGCTAGGCAAGCACTCTACACTGAGCCACAGCCCTGAAGAATATTTAATTGTGCTTTGATGAGAAAGGGTTTTCTAAATACAACAGGAAGAAATAAAGTGAAAGATAAGATTGGACAACATAAAAATGTAAAATTTGGTCCAATTTAAAATATCAGCATAATTAAAGGCTCTATAAACCAGGTAAAATATTTTTTTAAAAATGAGATAATATTTGTGATGCATAAAGAACTTTGGCAAATCAATAAGAAAAACTTTGAAAAAAATAGGTAAACAATCAAGAATGTTTCATAGAAGAATAAACACTATAGACCAATAAGCATGTGAAATAGTTCAACCTCACTAGGAATAGAAAAGAAGGTATATATTATAACATCAGGAAGACACCAATATCACTTATTAGACTGGCAAATGGGGTAATAAACATCAATGCGAAAGAATCTGATAAGATTAGTATAATTTCCTAGGATAATTTGACAAAGTTTGACCTAATACTAAGACTTCATAGTAATCTACATTAAGAATCAGTTATAAACAATTTATAAAAATATTCATCAGTCATTTATAATAATTAAAAGAGGCAAGAAACTGAATGTTATAATTATATCATAAAATTCTAATTGGCCATGAATGGTGTATTTCAAAGAATGGGGAAATGCTATGACACAATATAAACTGAAAAAGCAGGGTATAAAACATAACTTTAGTGCTGAGGATGTAGCTTGGTGGTAGAGCGCTTCCCTATCATATGTGAGGCCCTGGGTTCAGTCTTCAGCATATACATGTATTTGGTGGGAAAAGACCTGTTATCAGTGATTGCAATACAAACTGATAGGTTTTTTTCTCCTTGTACATCAGTATTTTAAAAAAAAAAACTACATTATAATGCTAGGTAGCTGTTTGGAAACAAGAAGGAAAAAAACCATTCCTTTCAGATCTTAACATGTAGGGTTTAATATCACAGAAACTATTGATTTGAAATATTATAAACAACCCATATTTGCTTTCCATAAGAGTTATTTTCCTCTAACAAGTCCCACCCACCATAAATAAGACTCTCAAATGCCAGTGGATGAGTGTCCATGACCCAAAGAATCACGATCAGCAATTCCTTTTTTTGTTATTTTTCTTTTTATTAGTGAATTATAATTACACAAAATGGTGGGATTTGTTCTTACAAATCCATACATGCACACAATATAACAGCAATATTGGTCAGTTTCATTCTCCAGTATAAGTAAGAATTTTTTTTCAGGGGTGGGGATTGAACCCAAGGTCTGCCCATGCTAGGTGAGTATGCTACCACTGAGCCACATCTCCTACAGGTGGCAATTATACAAGAAGTCACTACCATTAGCAAAACCTACCCTATGGTCCATTTCTTAAAAGAATAATACCTCCATATTATGCTAATGGTTTTAAGAAATAGCTCATTTCAAATGCAAGCACACTAAAACCTCTGCACATATGTTAGACACTATTATATGCAGAGAAGCAACAAAGGAAGAAATCATGAACAAAATGTATAACCCATGCTTATTTCTTTGGATTTCCATAAATGGAAATCATCTGGATAACCTGGGGCTCGTAGCATTGTTATATGTCAGGCACATAGTGAGGCATTTTCTATGTATTCTACTACTCAAATCCTAAGACAACCTTATGTACTATTGTTGTCTTCAAAGACAAGGAAGCTGTGGCTCTCAGATATTGAATAACTTACCAAAAACCACTAGGCTGGTAAGTGTCTGAGCCCAGATTTGGAACAAGGCAGTCTGTTTCTAGAACTTGGCTGTTAAACGCATTTGCTCTATTTAGGTCAGAATCTGTGCGACAGGTAAAGTTGTATTCTGCATTTCTCTTTTGCCTCCTCCCTACCCTCCTAGAACCTCAATAAAGAATAACAAACCCTAACCTTTTTAATCCATTCATATATGTCACTATCTTTTAGAGTCAAAGATGCTACTATAGTTATTCTGCTACTTCCTTCAATGAAAGCCGTAGGGCTTAACAAATTAATGCATGACCTTTAGTTTTTCCTGCGATGGTTTTATACATAGTTTCTCTTCCCTATTTAGGTTTGCAGCTAGAAGACAATAAAACTAGCAATGGAACCACTATATGAGGAATACCTAGCACATGGTGGAACAATAGTCAAACCTTATTACTGGCTAAACTTCTCTCTAGATTGCACCAACTGTCCTTACCATATTCGGACAGGTGAGGAAGCAAGAGTCCCCTACACAGAATTTCATCAGATTTTTGGATTCCCTTATGGGCCAACATATCCTCAAACAAAACACCTCATATTTTATGAACTCAAAAATTCTTCTGGTAGCCTGGTGCAAAAGGGCCATGCCAGCAACTGCACTGGGAATGATACCCACCCAGAATCAATGCTGTTTGAGACAAATGGTTATCTTGACTCCGCTGTGCACAACAACTGCAGCATTAGGCACATCATCCTGTATTCCAACAATTCCCCTTGTAATGAAGCCAAACACTGCTGCATCAGCAAAATGTACAATTTCCTGATGACGCACCCAGACGTCACTCTTAGTATTTACTTTTCTCAGCTCTATCACACTGAGCACGAATTTCCTGCCTCGGCGTGGAACCGTGAGGCTCTTCGGAGCCTGGCCAGTTTATGGCCCCAGGTCACTCTGAGCCCAATAAGTGGTGGGATCTGGCATTCTCTTCTCGACAACTTTGTCAGTGGTGTCTCGGGACCTGCTGTTTTCCAGCCCATTTTAACCGGGAGGGCCCTGGCTGACCGGCACAATGCTTATGAAATCAACACCATAACAGGAGTGAAACCTTACTTCACAGATGCTCTTCCCCAGAAAAAAGAGAATCAGAACTACCCCTTAAACCATGTCCTCTCTGTACAGTCTTTCCAAGGGACAAGTAGACAACCACAGTCCAGTGTGACTCCAGACCTCAGGAATCCTATTGTCTTTGTGCTGGTCCCTTATAGAGACCTACCACCAATCCATGTGGGTCAAAACCCTCACAAACCTAGGAATGTGGTAAGGCACTTAAATATTGCCTCAAATGTCACTCCAGGAAAACAAAGACCTCAGAAAGACCAAGGAAGATAATGGAAATCAGAATGGTTTGCAAGGAGCAAAGAGGCAGAGGAAGAGAAGAAGAAGAAGAAGAAAGAACAAAAATAAAATCTACATGTTATGAATGCATGAAGCCAAGTGCCAGGAGACTTACTAGCTGGGCAACAAAAATCTGAAAATCTCTCTCTCAGATCTGATCAAAGATGAGGATTAACTGATGCATAAGAGCAAAAACTGAATTATATACCATATCAACTATTTTAAAACCATACTTTTTCTAACATAATCTAAAATATTTCCATAAAACAACATGATCTCTCTCCTTTATTTTGAATGTGATAATAATAAAATGGAACCATTAATACCTTGCTAATATTTTGGTAAAGATTAGGAATATTGTTAGTCTACCCAATCATCTTTCCAATAAAAAGAAAACATGGACTAAACAGCTTCTTAAATTGGTTTCAGCATAAAAATTTACTATAAAATCATAAAACACCCTGAAGTTACTGATGTTAAGTGCTATCTCAAAGAGTAAACTAGTAACATTCCATTAATTGTTAATTATGGATGGAAGATTTTAGGCAGCCTACCTTTTCCAGAGTATTTCAAAATTATATATAGTTATAAAAATTGAAACGTAGCCACCTACTCAGTGGACCTTTTCCAGCTCAGAACTCTCCCTCCTGAGCAAATGACAGGGGCTGGATGATGCAAGACAATCACCAAAGGCCCCCCTTCACAGACCACATCACCAGAATCACTCGCACTGGCTCCCAGAGCTCCTTGTTGCCTTGTTTCACTGGTAAGATTTTAAGTTCTGTAGGACAAGCTCATGCTCTGCACCACCACCCCCACTCCCCGCCACCTTAGAGTCTCCTTTAGAATCTAGCACAATATCCAGGCAGAATGTGGATAGCAAGGCTGAGACTGCATCTCAGTAAATTCACCAATCATTACTCCCCAAGATCTCTTCACTGCTGCCAAGTGCCTGCTTAACCACCCTCCAAGGGACATCTTTTTGTTAGCACCCATTTCCCCTTCTTCTAATTCAGTTCACCAATGCATAATTTGTATGTGCTGATTTCCCTTTTCTGACCCCTTCCTCTTTACCAGTGTATATCCATAACTTCTCTTAAAATCTAATTCAAAGCATACTCCTTTAGGAAGCACTCTTTGACTAACCCTTTGAGTCACTTAAATGAAACCACTTTACTTATGCTTAATTCACATTTGCTATCTCTTCCCTCTCAGAAATATGTAAAGATGAATTATAAGAAAATGTATACTCATCTTTATAGAACTGGCCTTTATATTAAAATACACACACATGCACACACACAAATGCTAAGTTAATAAGATATTTCACTATTACATTAGAGCACATAAAACTTCATGAAAAAAGGGAGGAGGAAGAGGAAGGAAGAAATAAAAGAAAAAATGTTTTAGGAGTAGAAGTTAGTATTGTGTAAAATAAACATGAATAAAATTATTAAAAATAAATTTCTATTGTTAGCCTGCAAATTTTTATAGAATTATTGGAATATAATTTTACCATGGGTATACAGTGATTATTATTTAAAAAGGTGCTACTGAAGTTTATATCAGCTCATGGACTCATATGTCCATTATTTGGAACGTTATGATAAAAAAAAAAGATCCCAACATGACAAATCGGTCATTTCTGATTGTTATAAAATAGATCCAAGGGAGTTGAGGTTGTAGCTCTGTGGTACAGCACTTGCCTCACATGTGTGAGGCACTGTGTTTGATCCTCAGCACCACATAAAAATAAAGTTATAAAAAAAAAAAAACAGATCCAAGGGCTTGGGGTATAGCTAGCTCAATGGCATGTACAAAGCTGTAAGTTCAACACCTTCCCCAGCAAAACCACACACACACACACACACACACACACACACACACACACACAATTTGTTGGCATGAAATCTCTCTCTAAAATGGTAAAGTAGACCACAACATCACAAAGGATCCATGGTCTAAAATCTAGGATGAACTTTTATGGTATGTAACAAAAAAAGATATGTTGCCACAACAACAGGAAGGAAAAATTCCTTTCTTGGTTACATTTTTACACTGGCTAAGGCAAGACTGGGCTGAGTAAAAGAATGTTACTGACAGGTGAGAAGTCCAAGGCAGGACAGTCAAGCGTTAGATAAGAGACTAACAGAGGGCATAAAGATAAATGGTCCAAGGCAAGTCATCCCTTTTTACCCATCTGTGAAACAAGAGATAGCTGTTAGTTCATCTTTAAGGCTCCTTTCAGCTCCACCTGCTGTAACAAGGCACACAGCAGAGCAACCTTTCCTCAGAGTGAGACCTTACCATGCAGTGATCAGTCTTCCTTGCTTGCCACACAATGGGTTCTGGGACATGTTGGGCTGACCCAAGGATGAAGGAGGGGAAGTTAGAATGCTCTACCCCTCTTCAGTAAACCAGCAATGGTGATATTGAAGACTATCATTGCCACCACACATATGGAAATTCCAAATAAAAGAATAGAAGCCAATGAGTTAAAGCAGGTAGCAATACAGAGATGTGAAAAACATAGGGATGTATCCCACGAGACCAACAAAAGAGAAAAGAGGGCAGCATTACCTTGGTGAATCTCTTAACTACCCAGTTAGTATAAGGAGGGTGGATTTATTAATCAGGGGCAGACTTGGATTAATAAAGCTCCCAAGATAGACATATAAAGGTAGAATGCTAATGTATTGATTTCCTGTGAGACAACTGGACATACAAGCAGATATCAAAGTCATCCATCTTATATTGCCTTTCCACATAGATAAGCTTCCTGATATTACAATAAGAAGGTTGCTCTATAGGACTAGAAGAGTTCATCATATGATTCAAACACTTAGTGCTATCAGATTTGAATTTGTAGTGGAGATACCTCTGCCACTTGGAAAGAAATAGTGTAATATGTACAAGGATGTCTATCCCTGGATAGTATTTGGGTGAGCCTAGGCTGTAAGAGACAACACAGACCTCTATAACTCCTTTTGTGACTGACAGCATTTATTTTCTTGGGGGATGCTAGGGACTGAAACAAGGTTCTCATGTATGTTAAGCATACACTTTACTATTATGCAACAATCCCAGCCTGACTTTCTACAGATTTTGATATTTTGTCAAGTTAAAATCTAATCTTGCTGGCCTGACTTGAGAGCAGATTATATTTCTTTAAACAGCTTTTAAATATCTGTTTTGATTCATGGTGCATGCAATCCAAAAAACTTCACTTGCAGAATGGAATCCTATTCATTTCATTTCCAAGGATTTTAAGTATGTGGTACCTATACTAATTTAAAATAATATTCTTACTATCAAATATTTAGTGAGAGCTATATAAGGTGTTTATAAGCACTTACTTAAAGTAACTCATTTAATCTCCCAATAATTCTACAAGGCAAGTATTATTATAATACTTATTCTACAAATGAATAAATTGCAGCTTAGAAAACTTAAGTATCTGCCCAAGTAGTAAAGGCTAAGCTGATAATCAAACCCAGGAGATCTAATTTCAGAATCCATGCTGTTCATCATTACATTTTGATGCCTACCTCAATAATAACAATGCAGATTCACCAGAAATCTAGGAAAAAATTAATATCCCTTTAGTATGTGTCCTGTGGCTTTTCTATAATTCTGCTCAAACCATGTTACCCATGGGAATCTGGTATACTAAGGGAGCCAGGTAGGATGGGCAAGTTAGGGTAGAGAACTTAAGTAGATTCTAGATCCCAGAGCTTTGGCCCTCAAACCAGCCCTACTTCCTCTTTTCCAGCCCCTCATACCAATCACATATCTTGGGGATTATTTTACTTTGGATATCCCTGTCTCTCAGGGATGTATCAAATAGAGGACCCAAGGCAATGGAACACTGTTTTATTGTTCCATGCAGTTAAATTAAGTGGAACTAGTTCCAAAAACAAAATCAAAACAAAACAAACAAAAACCTCTCAAAAAGAATTACCGTATGATCCAGCAATACCTCTTCTGGGTATCTACACAAAAGAAAGCAGAATCTTAAAAGATATTTGTATACTCATAATTATAGCAGCATTATTCACAACAGCCAAAAGCTGGAAGTAAACCAAGGTCCTGGACATGTGAATGGATAAAGAAAAGGAAGGAAATTCTGAAATGTGTCACAACATGGATGAACCTTGAGGACATCATGCTAAATTAAATACATCAGCCATGAAAAGATAAATATCATATGATTCCACTTATATGAAGTACCTAAAGAAGTCAAATTCAAGAAACCGAAAGTAAAACGTGGCTGCCAACAGCTGGGGAGAAGGAAAAATAGGGAGTTACTGTTTAATGGATAGAGAGTTTCAGTTTTGTGAGATTAAAAAAAACAATATCTGGACACGAATGTGGTAATGGTGGTACAACAATGTAAATGTGCTTAATACCACTGAACTGTACATTTAAAATGGAAATTGTTATATGTATTTTACCATAATTTTTAATTATATGGAATTACTAATTGACATTAATGATTTATCTACATGCCAAAAAAAGTGACATCTTTTGTGTTAGAGTAAATATTAGAAAATAGGCTCTATGTCTACTCACAAAAAAATGAGATAAAGTAGGGAAAGTTTATTGAAATAACTGAAAACAAATATCTTTTAAAAATCATTACAATAAGCTTTTTTTTTTTTAGTTTGACACTTTATAGTCCATTTCAAGCTACTGTGTGGATTTATTTCAATCATTAATACTTAGTAATATCATTATTTTAGAAAAAAGATTAGTATAGTAGGCAATCAGAGAAAGACTTGCTGAAAGTAGAGAGTGGTAATTAAAAGCATAAAGTTTGGAATCAGACAGATCTCATTCCCATACCAGAATGCCAGGAGCTAACTGAATATTCCTGGCTGAGTTATATACTATCTCTGAGCCATAATTTACTCATCCATAAACACTAATGGGAACAGTAATTCTTAAGCCCTATAGATACTACAAGATTAAATAATGTAAATAAATGGTTTATTTACCAAGTATCTGACACATTAAACAATAAGTGGTTGTTTGTTTTAAATAAAATATTAGCATGATAATATTTTATAGGAAATTAGTAGGAGGATATAGAGATAGTAGGAAATTATAGAGATTGCAGGATCTCTCAAATTTTATCAAAATTATGAATCTGAGCTTACTTTTTATTTTCTATAAGAAGCAAAAAAAATTGCTAGAATTTGTAATAATCAGATTGGAAGAGAAATGCTTTTAATATCTTGCTTAAGTAGCAAAAAGAAAACCAAAATATCTATGGTCATGGAGTATATTGAAAAATTTTAATATTTTGTGCAATTTCTGATCAACAAATTGGCAATCTAGATGAAATGCACAATTTTCTAGGAAAACATAAACTCTAAAATAATGAAGAAGAGAAAGAAAACCAAATAAATCAATAATCATGTAAGAGGAAGATGATCAACAATCATTGGTCTATTTCTAATAATATCAGCAAACCCAGATAATTTTGCAGGCATATTCTACAACTTTCAAAGAACAAATAGCATGGTTATTTTTTATCATTCAAACTATTCCAGCATTGGGGAAAAGCTGGAAATCCTCTAAATTCATCTTCAAGGCTAGGTACCCTAATATCAAAACTGGATAAAGACAGCACAATGAAACTATGGACCAATCTTACTTAAAAATATACATTTTAAATCATTTTAAAAGGTATAAATGAATTAAATCCAGCAAGTTATTAAAATAGTAACATTTCATAACCAAATGGAGTTTAGTCTAAAAATAAGGGAATGTTTCAGTGCCAAAAATATGTAAATATAACTTACTACATTTGCAAAATAAAAAATAAAAATTATGATTTGTGTCATTAGATTCCCCCCAAATTGGATAATTACAGCAGTCATTCCTAAAGATAGTAAAATAATAGTAAATATAACATAAACTGTAAAATACTAGATAATTCCATTAAAATAGGAACAAAGCAGAGAAGCCTATTATTACCCAGTTTTTCAACATTCTTCAGAAGTCTAGCTAATGCAATAAGATAAGAAAAATGAATGACACAAAATTAGAAAATAAGATATTAATTATTGCTATCTCAGTCCCCCACAGGGGCACATGCCTGTAATCCCAGCAATTTGGGTGGCTAAGGCAGAAGGATCACAAAATCAAGGCTAGCCTTGGCAATTTAGTGAGACCCTGTCTCAAGCTAAAAATAAAAGGATTGGGATAGGCTGGGGTTGTAGCTCAGTGGCTGAACAGCGCTAGACTCACATGCGTGAGGCACTGGGTTCAATCCGCAGCACCATATTAAATAAATAAATAAATAAATAAATAAATAAATAAATAAATAAATAAATAAAAATTTTTTTAAAGGGATGAGAATATAGCTTTGAAACAGGGCACTATATGTTCAATTCCCAGAATTACACACAAAAAAAATTATTATCTCAAATACAATGATTGTATACTGTGACAAGAGATACCATCTTAAAATAACTGTTAGCATTATGATATCCCAGTGATGGGAAGGAATACAGGATAAATATGTGTAAAATCTGTAGTTTCCCTTTATATCATAAGCAGTTAAAACATTAAATGGAATAAAGGTCTCATTCATGACAATGTTTTTAAGAAAAAACAAGGCTTATTCTTCTATTTGGCATTAAATTTTTTTCCTAAGAGTACAGATTTATAATTTATTGGATCTTTGAAGTACTCATAAACACATCACATAAAGGTCTTAAATAGTTCTCCCTACCTACTTTACCTCAGTGTGTAATCTTAAAATTACATAAAGTTATAACTAGTTACAAAGAAAAAACTTGAAGTTTAGAAGGCTGATATTTTCAACATAGCACTAGTTGATGGAATATTAGAGGAAGCATTAAACCATAATATAGTATATGGGTAACATACTAAAAATCTTTTAATACTGTAGTAACTATGGGGCTAAAAAACCATGTTACTAAACTCTATCATTAGCAGAATTGAAATTCAAATATTTATATCATTATACAAGTTTGTCATATTTGATTAACAAAGTTCACTTCCATTTCAAATAATAATAAAAAAAATATAGTGCCATGCTATGGCGGGGTGGGGATGTGGCTCAGTGGTAAAGCCCTTGCCTCACACATGTGAGGTACTGGGTTCAATCCTCAGCACCACATAAAAAGAAATAAGAATACTGTGTCCATCTACAACTAAAAAAAGATATTTAAAAAAGTATTTAGGAGCTGGGGTTACAGCTCAGCAGTAGAGTGCTTGCCTTGCCCATGTGAGGCACTGGGTTCGATCCCAGCACCACAAAAAAATAAATAAAATAAAGTAAAAATATTGCATCCATCTTTTTTTTTAAAAAGTATTTAGTGGCAGGTTTGGGGAAATGAAGCACATAAGAGAGGTTTTAGTTTAAAATAACTGATAAAAAGACCTATCATAGTATAGTTTTATTAAAATCCCTTCTAACTAAAAATATCTTTGACTCTGCATCATCACAGAAATACATAGAGAGCATTAACCTTGGGAAAATTCAGTCTTGCTTTATTATTGAATCAAACCAGGTTATTTGCACAATCAATAATGTATCTCAAAACCTTATGGATCCTTTACATCAAGGAAAAGATGCTCATTTGAAAAATAAAATAAGGAGAATAAAATTACCTTAGATTAATTAAGCATCACTGTAAACATTAAAAATTTAGGTTTTGCAAAGAAGTAGAATAGTGTGTATTTTCTAATTAAAAGATAACTAAGAACAGATTTCTTCACACACAAAATTTCCTTAAAGCTTATATTAGTTAATGAGGGTAGGGAGATAATTAAAGTATCTGTAAAAAAATGCTCTGTCTTAACAATTATTTCAAGATTAACTTGTCAGATCAATTCATTGGATAGAAATGTGTTGAGCATGTGCTATGTAGTAGACACTTGGATCACTGTGAAGCAATATCAAACACACTGTCACATTTAATACATTCAACATATAGAGCAAAATTATGAGCAATCAAGACAATTACACCCTTGAGCAACTGATTTTTAAAATTCATTCCACCATTCCATTAAGTTGATTTCTATCCCAGGATTCTCTCAGTTCTAAAATAAGAGAACAACAGTAACAACAACAAAAAATACCACCTAAATAAGGCAGTACAAATAATAGAATTGTAACAGAAAGGATGTATTAAGGCTTAAACTCTTGCTCCCATTTGCACTCAACAGTGCATCTAATGTTCAATTTTCTCTTCAAAGAAAATCTTGATTTAAAAGAACAGAAAGTACAATCAGTTCAACATCTAAAAAAGTAAGCCATGTAGCTTATACTAAAGTTAGCAAAAGATAAAAACAGAAAAACATTAAAACAAATCTTTATTCTAAGTTATATAATGCCCTGCACTGTGGTAATGACCTTACACTGGCTATATACATTTTTAAATAAATATTACCAACAGGTAGGAAATATTCTAAATATTCTTTTGCTGTCCTAAGACAGTCCTAGTAGAATTTTTACTCATAATGTGAATATTAATTTAAGGAAATGTCGCTTCTATTCAATTCTATCACTTAAATGTTATATATTCTGGAAGGATGATTTATTTGGGTGTGGGGAAAAATTCTACATTGCTCTTCACCTTCCTCCCAAAAAAAGGATGCATTCTATTCTTGAACAGCTTTCTTTACATACATGCACACACAGAGACGTATGTGTGTACGTATATGTGTACAACAAAGGCTTGATTTTGAGATTTCTCTCCTCTTTTAACTGATTCACTAATCTCAGTGTGACTGGGAAACTGTACTGCTTTTCACATTTTATTCAGTCATCAATCATGAATTGAGTACCTTCTGCATGCCTGGCTTTATGTCAAGTGGAAGGAAGATACAAAAGCAAAATAAGACAGTCTCTGCCATTCAGCATCTTGACATTTCTTTCAAGGGCAATATAAGATGATAAATAAATATAATTTATGAAATTAGTACCCAAACTAATGGTATAGGTATCATGCATTTTACATTAATGTTGAATTTTAGAGACTTGAAACACTTTTGTGTTCACAAGATTGTCCTGAGCACAATCTTGTGAAGACACTTTATTAGCCCCATTTTAGTGATAAGGTACCTGAGATTCAGAATTTTAACCAACATGCCTCAATCATGCAAATTTTGAGTGGAAGAGTCATGAAGACCCAATCCAGGGTTTTCCAAGCTCAGTCATCTGTTTAATGCAGCATAGGAAATCAAGGATGAGGTACTCAAATAGAAAATAGTCAGCCTTCGGCTGGAGGTGGACCTGCACCTGGGCAATGTCCAGCAAAAGTCCAAATTAATATTATTCTGCAAATACCTATACTACAGTGTGATTCACAGATCTCAACTACCATTCCTTAATCTTAGTGCCTTGACTTCCTTAATAAGAGCTCTGCTCTCAGAAATGGAAATATGGAAGATAATCTAAAAATATGGCCCATAAAATCTTAAATCATAAATATCAATCTTAAAAATCTAGTTTCTATTAATTCTTACAGAATTTGTTTTCCCTCAGCACTGGAAAGAATAACTCGCCTACCCTTTTCTCACATTCTTGCTCCAAATAACCACTTATTTTAAGATATGAATGATCGTCTCTGCCTCGAATTCTACAAGTTCACCCCAGTTTTGCCACTCAGCCCCAACCCCTGCCCAGACACCTTCCCCTCCCTCCCTAAGGATAGGATACCGAGTTCAGATTCTCCAAGTCCGGTCGTTCTGCTGTCACACAGCTCTGAGAAATAAGATTTGACCTTTCGACTCCGTCCTTGGGGACCTCCCGCTGGCCGAGCAACGTAGTTTCAACCCCGCGAAAGGAGCTTGGAGCTCAGGAACGCAGCCCCAGGCAGCGCGAGGTCCGAAGCCACGACTCCGAAGACTAGAATGATGCTGGGCGCCCGGGCGTGCATCACTCTGTCCCATACTCCTGCCAACTGCAGGGGACTGAGTCCTGCAGCCAGTCCATCCCAACCCACAGGTACGTCCGGACGGGCCCGACCTTATGCAGGACCCCGAGGACAGGTCAATGCCAGCGACAGCGGAGGCAGAAAAAGCCAAGGCCACCCGCCCCCGGTGCCCATCGCCGAAAACCTAAAGCCCCCAAGACTGGACCGCAGAAAAGCGTTTCTATGGGAACCTCCTGTTGATCACGTGACTGACCCGGCAACCAATCGCCTCTTACCTCTGCCCGCTGCCTCGCTTTCTGCCCGCCCGGCCGCCCCCGCCTCCTTCGCCCAGCCCCGCCCCTTTCCTGCAGCGAGTCCGCGCCTGCGCAGTGTCCTGCGCGCGCCCTCCCTCGCGCGCGCTCCCCGAGGAGCGCGGGGGCGGCGTGGGGGCTGGAGGAGAGCGCGAACCTGAGGAGGAAGAAGCTGGACCAGCGCGCAGGCCCAGAACCGCCCGAGCCGCGGCTGCGGCTACGCCCCAGAACGGAAGAGGGAAGTGAATCCAGAGCCGTGCAGTGGGTTTCTGCCGGGCTGGGCTTGCTGAGCTAGAGGCAGCAGCGGGAGGAGGCCTTGGCCACGGGTCCTGATCCGGGATGTCGAAGAACACGGTGTCGTCGGCCCGCTTCCGGAAGGTGGACGTGGATGAGTACGACGAGAACAAGTTCGTGGACGAGGAGGACGGGGGCGACGGGCAGGCCGGGCCCGACGAGGGCGAGGTGGACTCCTGCCTGCGACAATATCCTTGCGTTCGCGGACCCCGCCCGGCCCCTGTCCCGCGGGGCGGCGGGGACCGAGGAGACAGTCCCTCCGGGTCGGGCGCCGCGAGCACCCGGCGGCCCGGCTTGGACCTGGCTCCTCTTCTGAAAGGCAGGGGCTTCCCGGGATCCCGGGTCCGCCGCGTCCGCCGGCCCAGGCCCGGATTCCTCAGGTGGCGCGGGCGTGGCGGCCTCGGGACGGTCCTGCGGGCCGCGCCCTCGCGGCGCCGGGAGGTGTGGACCGGCCGCGGACCGGTGCCCGCGCCCAAGTTTCCTCCCAGAACTCTCTTTATGGGGATCGCTTTAGCTCCAGAAATTTCAGATGGGGTCGGGGGGCGCGCGTCTTCAGCCTTTTTGTTATGTGGTTTGCGTTTTGTATCGTTGGAGTAGTTTATTTCTAGCCGGGAGAGATGGAGCGGTTCGCAAATTGAGGTCCTCTGTACTTAGCCCACGGGCTCCCCTCCACCCCATTAAGAAAAAGGGATCTGGCAAAACATAGGTGGCGCATAATTTGTTAACCAGGTGTGGGGAGTGACTACAGAACACGAAAACTCCCAGTGAGAAAGCTTGGAGCCTTTTATCTGCTAAGAATAGGACAATAGAGAAAAGACGGGGAATGCATGTGGAGAATCCCTGGAAATATTTAAAATAAACCCCAATGAATAAAATAGAAGATGAGTCATTTGCATAAAGCAGAATCATTTTTGTGATCATGAAATTGTTTCCATTTTAGTTAAAATATGGCTGTCAGTTCCTGGTTTCTTGGTTTGCATATTTGAATATTCATAATCGCAAATTAGCATTTACATCATATCATTTTTAGGAGAATGTAAATGTTGCAAAAAACAAAGCTGTAATTTTAGAAAAATCTCAATCACTAGCTCTTTATACATTTCTGATTATCCTTGAGTGCATTCTTTCCTTATCAGTGTCCTGTTAAACTACAATGAAGTAATAATCTGAGCAAAAATATTTATGACAACTGTATCTTTTCATAAAGGCACTTAAATATGGCATTAAACATTTATCAATGTGCTGTATAGGTTCTCCTTTGATTGCTACAGCTTTCACAATCATTTATTATTATTTTGCATTATTTAAGTACCTACCTGTTAACTAGTTGGGGTCTTTAAAAACATGCCAGTCTACAAAAGGTGTGCTTCTTTAGAAAGTCCATGCAGCCTTGAAAATTACAGCTTATTAACAATTATAGCTTTGTTTTCTTTCTTCATACCTATTTCTTAAGATAAGTGATAAGCATTATTCTTTCTTAAAACATTTCTTATTAGGGAGGGATAAATGATGTTTTGGAAAACTAATATTTTAGGTAATTTATGGTATCCATTATCAGTGGATCTTCTTTTTAATAAATTCATTCTAAAATACAAAGGCATTGTCTCTTCTTACCCTTGTTATTACAGGGAGCCACAGCCCTGGTCTGGTACTACAGATGGAGGAACAAGTGAACTCTCTTGTGGTTTTTCCTTTTAGGGAAATGACTGTACATTCTGACAGTTTGATTGGCCCTCCCGATTCTCATGCTTGCTAACTCACTAGTGCTTTCAGAGAGACTAAATCTAATAGGTATGGTCTAACACAGTTTGAATAACCTTTCTGAAGTATGAAGGAATGTATAAGACAAAAAAAAAGTAAACTGCCACCTAAAGGTCATATGAATTATTACATTTTCTGTAATACCTCTTGTTCAGTATTGAGAAATTGCTATTTATATCATTCAGCTTGTTAGAGTAATAATGCCAGCATGTCAGTTAATATAGAATATAATTTTAGTATAAACTTCAGTCTTTATGTTTTTACAGTTAAAATCACATACGATATATTTTAGTTCATTTGGGGGCCTAATGATTCCAATGTATATTTTAGGGTTTTGGTTTTGAGGTTTTTTGTTGTTGTTGTTTTGGGGGGTTTTTTTGGTAGTTATGTATGGACAGCATACCTTTATTTTATTTGTTTATTTTTATGAGGTGCTAAGAATCTAACTCAATTCCTCACATGCTAGGCAAGCACTCTACCACTAAGCTTACAGCCCCAGCCCTATTTTAGGGTTTCTTAAGAACCAGTCTACATAATGTTTGCATATGTGTTTCATTGGAATTAAAATATTATCAATCTTTGATAGTCTTTTTTTTTAATTCTGACGTTCTCTTATTTCAATATTTTGCCTTTGAGTGACTTTGGAAACCAACACATTTGAGTTTTCAATATTGAACATGTGACAATGAAAATTTTTCTTCTTATGGATAAACTCAGGTCTTAAACTAAGGACTCCAGGTGTTGTAATGCTTTCCCAGGGGCTATCCTTTGCTGTTTACTGCCTTAACCACCATCACAGGAAACATGACAGCTGCTCTCCAGGCAGCTCTGAAAAATCCCCCTATCAACACCAAGAGTCAGGCGGTGAAGGTGAGTCACAGCCACACACAGTGATCTCTACTGATAACTTATTATTCTTAAAAAAAAAAAAATGCTCTGAAGTCTCACAAAGTCATCAAATATTTTAACTAAACGCCATCTCTGACGTAGAATAACTTAGAGTATACTTTTCCATGTGAAAAAAGAATGCTGTAACATGAAATGAGATATAATAATGCTGCATGGTAGTCATGGTGAATTCAAATGATAGTTTAATCATTTCTGTGTGTTTAAAAAAGGAGCAGTCAGGTTGAATTTAGTCAAAGGCTTAACAAGTAACTAAAACTTTTATCAAAATACACAGATTCTACTTTTTCTTGAAGCTTTTTAATTATAAAAAAATAAATGTTTATTATAAAAAACTCACACATATTAAGGGATTAAATGTTGATCATAATATTGCTACCCAGAGGTAGATTTATTCCTTTTTGATGTTGCTATATGCTTATAGAGTTTGAGTGTTTTTGTTTTTATAAAAATAGCATTTATAACCTGCTTTTCATCTGAATAAAATGTCCAGGAACAACTTTCCTAACAATAAGTTTATTTCTATAGCATTCTTAACTGTTGTACACCAGTGTGCTGCAGTTTAGATATAACTGATTTTTTGTCATTGACTATTTTTCTTCTTGCTGTATGTATGATGGGAATAACTTGGGATAAATTTTAATTATTTTCTTTTAACAAACTCCTAGAAGTGAGCCACTGGACCAAGGAATGCACATTTTTTAAGCCTTTTGGTACATAAGATATTGCCAAATTGCCCTTCAGAAAAATTGTGCAACTTCCATTCCCTGTTGCAGTCATTCACTAATTCTTCAGGACCTGTTTCCTCATTTATTATTTAAAATGAAGCATAAGTAAATCAAATTCCACGCATACATGGTTTTGTCAAAATGAACCCAACTGTTATATAACTAATGCATTAATAAAAGAAAAAATATTTATTAAAAAAATTTTAAAAGAACATATTGCCAGGCTGGGGCTCAGTTGGTAGAGTGCTTGCCTCGAATGCACAAGGCCCTGGGTTCAGTCTCCATCACCACACAAATATATATATATATATTGCCCATATTACAAACAAACAAATGAAATGGATCCTAAAACATCATTGCACTGTCAGTGGCTATTTATATGTTGTAGAACCTCAAAACTCCTTAATTGAATAGTAGTACATAGCTTAAATAAATGCACGATAATTATTATCCAGGCAACATAGTGTTTCATGAGGGAATTTTTCTTTGCTTTTTAAAAAGTTATTAGGAACATCATTGAAATTTTGATTTTACCACCTTCTGCTTTCATGTGGGTGGTTTTTATCACAGCTTGTGGGTGGGAGGTTATAACTCTGGGTACACAGATATTTTTCTAAATCAGATCATTTAAACTAGAGATAGCAATAGGTGGTAGAAACATTCTGTAAAATCTTTCCAATAGGGATGCCAAAGATAGCACACTGTGTTGAATTATGATGAAAGGGTCAATTAAGTGTTCCTTTTGCTTTGCTAAATGGGTTAAAAAAAATTTTTTTTACCAGAAGGAAAAGGATCACGAGGATGGAATATCACTATATTTCATATCTATAGATATAAAACTTATTTTAAGTTTTCTAAATATTTTAAAATAAAATTTTAAAGAAAAAATTTCTAAAGCATAGTTCAAAGTAGAACTTCAAACTAGTTTCCTTATTTGATAGCATTTTTTTAAGACTAAGAAGTGAAATTTAAATTTGTTTAATTGTGAAATTACCACACCAATCTGTTTTCAGCTCTGCCTCCAATTATGTCAGGAATCTATCCACTTCTCACCACCTTTAGTGCCATGCTAACCCAAAACCAGCCTGTATTATTGCAGCCACTTCCAAACTGGGCTCCCTGCTTCTGCCTTGCTTCCCTGCACCCACAGCTTATTCTCAACATAGACAATAAAATGATTAAAATATGAATCAGATTATAGCAATGCTCTTAAAACCCTCCAATGTCTTAGAGTAAAATCCAGAGTCCTTACAATGGCCTGGAGGCCTTCTGTGATCTGCCTTCCCCAAACCTGACTTCTGTCCTGCTACTCTGACCACTCTGCTCTAACCGTATGGGGTCCTTTGAACACACAGAACCCGCACTACAGCACTTGTTCCTTCTCCATCTGAAACACTTCCATATCCCACAGATTTCCTCTTTTGCATTTTTCAGGTCTTTATTCAAATATCACCTCAGGGTGACCTTTCTAAATTGTAGCCCCTGGCATATATCTGAATGTTTATTATATATTTACCCCCCAGGATCGTGCAGGCAGCATTGTCTTGAAGGTGCTCATCTCTTTTAAAGCTAATGATATCGAAAAGGCTGTTCAATCTCTGGACAAGAATGGTGTGGATCTCCTAATGAAGTATATTTATAAGGGCTTTGAGAGCCCATCTGACAATAGCAGTGCTATGTTACTACAGTGGCATGAAAAGGTAAGTAATAAATCTGTACAACTGTTTTCCTTATAATAGAGGGTATCAATGCCTCTCTCACCTTAGTAACTACATTGGCCTGACTGTACAACACATTATTTACCAATAAAATGCATGAAAATAAGTTCAGGTATGTGCTTACTAGCCTTGGTCGTCTTTTAAGAGATTCTGGTGTACAACACATTTATTCACGTATACTAAGCATATATATTATGACTCATTAAGCCTTGTCTTTACTTTTAATTAAATAAAATCTTTGCAAAAGAAAATAAGGAGTAAAAACCAATAATTATTTTATAGTGATTAAAAGAAGGAAACAACCCAAGATAAACAGATAAAATGTAGTACATACCTACAGTGGAGTATTATTCATCTATAAACAAGAATTTGCTATTAGAAAGCATGGATCAACCTGTAAAACATTATACTAAATGAAATAAGCCAGACAAAAAAATATATATTATAATCTGAAATAGGCAGATTTAAAGGAACTGAAAGTAATTAGAGCTTACCTGAGACTGGAGGAAGAGCAGAATATGGAGTCACTGCTTAATAGGAGCAGAGTGCCTGTTTAGAGTGATGAATAGGTTTTGATAATGGATAATGGTGATGGCTGCTCAACACTAGGAATATAATTAATATCACTGAATTTTTATACTTAAAGATGGTTAAGGACTGGGGCTGTAGCTCAGTGCTTGCCTCATTATGTGTGAGACACTGGGTTTGATCCTCAGTACCACATAAAAATAAATACATAAAAGATATTGTGTCCATGTACAACTAAAAAAATTTTTTTAAAAAAGATGGTTAAAATGGCAGATTTTGTTATGTATTTTGCCACAATGTGGGGTTTTTCGTTTTGTTTTTGTTTTTTTTAAAGAGAATAAGGAGGGGCTGGGGCTGTAGCTGAGGGGCTGGGGCTGTAGCTCAGTGGCAGAGCACTTGCCTAGCATACATGAGGCGCTGGGTTCGATCCTCAGCATCACATAAAAATAAACAAAGGCCTTCTGTCCATTTATGACTATAAAAATTTTTTTTAAATGGGAGAACAAGGAAAATTAATAATTTTTAAATCCCTTCTTCCATTTTCATGCATTTTTGTTGAGAACTTGGTATATTCCAGGTACTCTCCCAAGAACTTTCCATGTTAATTCATTAGATCCTCATAAAAATACTAGAAGGAAAAACTTGCCATTCCTCTTTATAAATGAGGAAGCGGGAGGCATGTGTCAAGTCTTCGCTGCTGCTTGTCGTGAGTTTTTACCACTCTTACCTCCTAAACACTTCTCAGATCCATCCACCCAAGTGCATCTGTAACGTGCCACCCGGTTCACAGCATCTCTCCAGTCTGTTGCTATAGCTTCTTAACTGGCATCCCAGCTGCCAGTCTGCCTCCCTCAAATCTGTTCTCCACCCAGCCACTAGAATAATCTTTTTAAAACCCAAATGTACCTTTGTCAGTCACCAGAAGAATAAAGTCCAAGTTCCCAAGACTAATCTCTGCCATGTCATTGTTCCCTTGAGCTACAGCAAAGCCAGCCTTTTCCCTTTTCACACCTCCGTACATTTGCTTGTGGTTTTTCTGCTGTCTGTCACCTCCTTATCCATTTAACATTGTTTTTCTCCCGGAAGACTTATCTAAAACATTCCTCTTTGCTGTCAGGCTGGGCGTGTGCCTTTTGTTTTTTGTAGCACTCTGTCATAACTCTTGCCTTTTCATATATTACATTAAAATGTTCTGTTTATAAGACGGTTTCTTTCCAGCAGAGCAGAAGCTACTAGATGTATTCAATTTTTTATCCCCAGCATCTGGCACAGCGCTTGAAACATAGTGGTATACAGCAAGTATTTAGCAGGTATTTTTTGAAGTAACCAGAGCTTCGGGTTCCTAATACTGTCTTGGCTTTCAAATTTTCAAGTTACAAAGTTTCTAAGTTTTTAGCTATTAAATAATATCTTCCTACAAACTCACAAATCTAAATGGAAGTTAGATGGTTGATCTCAATTTGATTTTCTTCCTGTGATGAGAAAGAGATACAGAATGTCCTCAATTCATATTTGAGCACCTGTTTTAGGTAAGAACATTAGGATGCATGTTTTCAAAACATGATTTAGAAACAATGTGCTAGACTGTAAACTAAGTTGACTAGAATATAAACTCTGAGAAAGCATGGATATTAAAATTTTTATTTATTATTATATCTTTAATGCATAAAACAGTGTCTGGTGTATAATGAGTGCTGAAGAAATACTTGTTAATGAATTCACAATCTGTGCTGTACATTCCTTCTTGAAGGAAAAAAAAATTATTTATATGAGACATAGCCTTTCAGTATTCTGTGAACATTTACATTTGGTTTGTTATAGGCACTCGCTGCTGGAGGAGTAGGGTCCATTGTTCGTGTCCTGACTGCAAGGAAGACGGTGTAGTCCAGCAGGAGGTGTAGTCCAGCAGGAACTGGATCCACTGCAGGAGTGGGAGTTGCTGGTACAAAGACCAAAACAACCAAATGCCACGGCTGCCCTGTGGGTAGCATCTGTTTTTCTCAGCTTTGCCTTCTTGCTTCCTTTTTCATATCTATAAAGAAGAAAATTACATGCCAGTTTTCCTTTCATGAAAATTGGGATAGTGTGGAGGAAATTTGGTTTCAGCAGGATTTTGTTTCATCCTCTTGTAACCATTTCAATGATGTTTATACCAGTCTGTGTAGAGTATCATGTACATTCAGATTTAATTGTGCAATCTTAAACCCCTATCAGCTGGTTACTGTGTTGTTGGTTTGTTCCCCCCGCCACACTAATACGAGGGATCAGATCAGAATTTGAGGCCAGTTTCCTAACTCCTTGCTAGTCAGGAAGTGATCTTTATTAAATATATATATATTTGAGAAACTGGCAGCTATTAACATTGCAAAACTGGACCATACTTCCCTTATTTAAGCAAAATGTGTTTCTGGAACAAGTGGTGGGTGAAAATCATTACTAATTTCCAATTTTATTTCTCCTTGTCTCCAGATTATGCTGTGAGTTTTAAGAACGCTACTTCCTTTCAACATTCAATTATCATGGCCTCTTGATTTCTTTGTGGTCACCCAGGGTTCTGAACAAGGAGTCTTGTTCTATACAGGTGTATCTATAAATTAACAGAACCTGTTTGGCTTGATATTAAAGCTTTGTTGTGTCAATAATGTGGCTCCCTTTGGGGAAACTACTCCAAATCAAAAAGGATGAGGAAACTATGATGTAGTTCAAACTCTGGGCAGCCTCTGAATGAAATACTGTTTCTTTAGGAAAATAGTAGCTGCCTTAGACATTATGATGACATATATTTATTATACCATTTAGTATGCCCTATAAATGTCCTCAGTGTTCTTCAGGGTAATTAGGATCTCAAAAGATTTGGTTCAGATCCAAACAAATAACATATTCTGTGTTCAGCTCAGTGTTTCTTAAAAAAAAAAGTCACACAGCAAAAAATTGTTTACTTTGTTGGACAAACCAAATCAGTTCTCAAAAAGTGGCCGGTGCTTATAAAAAGCTATTGTTTCATAGTAGCTCCAAAAAAACCACCTGAAAGCATATGACCAAGAGGGAAATTAGCCTGTGTTTAGTATTTACATTGGCTACCAGTTTCATAATCACTGACTTATATGAAAACTGGTGCAGAAATTCTATAAACTCTGCTGTTTTTGATACCTGCTTTTTGTTTTGTTTTGTAAAAATGATAAAACTTCAGAAAATAAAATGTCAGTGTTGAATAATTTATTTTTCTTACTGTAATGCTCATGAATGTGTGGTTAATTAAGAGGAAAGGTTTCCTGGTGCTACCACCATGTATTGTACTCTTGACAAGAACTGATTTTGTAGGGTTTATAAAATTATTTTATACACATACAAGGTAGTAGAGAAGAGGAGTAAGTAGTTAATGTGTCAGGGCACTGCTGAAGCCTTCAGAGTGATTCCATAGACCCCTAGATACCACAGAACTACTGGAAGCATCACTGCCCAAAGATCTAGGCACCCAGCAGCTGCAGCCATTTACTCCCAGTATCTAAACTCTTTCTCACACCTCAAACCATTTCATATATCTGTCTTAGAGCAACTTCTGTTTGCTCTAACTTCCTACTTTAAATCCTTAAAAGCTACCAGGCAATTCAGAGGGCTATAAGTTAGGAGAAACCAAGCAATAGGTATTAGAAGTAATCAAGTAGGTATAGCATAACCATTTTTAAATATGAAAAAAGGCGGGGGAGGTACTTTTTCATAGAGTTCTTAACTCATTTTTGAGACTGAAGTTTTGGGGGAAATTCTGGAATTCAGTATTCTATATTCATAAGAATGGATATGTTTAAAATCTGCCGCCTCTCAGCCTTACTAAGGGAAGATAGTAAAAATACGGTGAGCAATACAGCATAGGGACTGGACCAATAGCTAGCAGCTAGAAACCTCTGGCTCAACTGATGCATCCTAGCTACATGCCAGCCCAGGCTGTAGTAGCCAAGACAGTGCCATCACTTGTGAAGAATTTAGATTAGTTGTAGGAAAAAACATAAGTGCCAATTTGCACTTTTACTCAAATTTTTTTTAGGTAAAGAGGTTCTTTACTTACCACTTCTTTCTACTTTAATATTAGTGATTTATTGTTTTGCCATTTTTTGAAAAGGAAAAACAGCAAACATACCCTTTTTTGGTTGTTAGGTAACAGATGCACAAGCCGAGTATGAGAACTCAAGGAAATCTCTTACTATACACAAGTGAAATCAATGTAAAACTGGTTACAAATTAACCAATTCTTTTAAGCATTTAGTGTTTTCACCAGGGTCATAAGGGACACAGCAGAAGAGTAAGGTCTGGGTCTTTCTCACAAGTTGCTTTCAGCTATTTGGGAAGTAAGATGTCGGTACTATTATGGTTTGGATCTAGAACATCCTTCCAAAGGCTCATGTACTTAAAGGCTTGGTCCCCAATGCAGCAGTGTCCAGAGGTGGACTTTTGGATCATGCGGACTTTAGCCTCACAATGGATTGATCTTTTGACATCTTGGTGACTTGAATGGATTATTGGGAAATGAGACCCAGTTGGAGGAAGGTGGTCACTGGGGCCAAGCCTGGCGGCGGCGGAAGAAGAAAGTATCTTGTCCCTGCCTCCCCTTACCTCCTGTCCACTTCTGTCATAAAGCTGAGCAGCTTTCCTTTGCCATACCTTTCCACCATGATGTTCTGCTTTTACCCCAGAGCTATTTAGCTGAGCCAGCCATGGTCTTCATGAAACTTCTGAAACCATGAGCCAAAGTCTTCCCTCCTTTATATTGTTATTGTCAGGTATTTTGGTCACAGTGATGAAAAGGTGATTAATGTCCTGTAGTTTAACTTTTGATTGTAAATGTAGTGTGGAGAGAACAGTGAGAGCAGGGCAGACCATAGTGCAGTGAGACAGATCAATCTGAACTAGGTCTTGCAGGAGCAAAAGGACAAAAAAGTTGAAGTGACATAAACAATAAAAGTTGAAGTGGGTTTCATTGTCATTATTCTTGTGGTTTTAATGTTTTTAAAAGGGAGTAAAATTCTAGATAGGTGTGTGTGTGTGTGTGTGTGTGTGTATGTGTGTGTGTGTGTGTGTGTGTGTGTATGTAAAATCTGCCTGAAGATCAGATGGTTTGTAGGTGCCAGAGCCAAGATTCCAACTCAAACCTGCCTGACTCCAAAGTTCTGTCACACTTCTTTCTCAAGCCTGCTGCTTGGGGAATGAAAATCTTTCTAGGACAGATGAAGACTTGGGTTTTCTCTAGGAACACCAACCTCAGTACTGCTGAGAGGTAAATCAGTTCGGGATCCCTTCATAGAGACAAAAGTTCACAGATGGAAAAGTCAGAAGAAAGATTTGGAGAGGCATCACCACAGCAGGCTCAGCAGCACCAGCACAATCTGCTCCTTAACCAGGAGTAGTTTTACCTGCACATTGGTGATTCTTCTTGTTTAAGAAAAAACAAACAAACAAAAAAAAAAAAAACAGAAGCACTCTACCACTGAGCTACACCCCCAGCCCCCTTTTCTTTTATTTTGAGGTAGTGTCTCACTAAATTGCCCAGCCTGGCCTTGAGCTTGTGAACCTCCTGCCTTAGCCTTTCAAGTTGCTAGGATTGCAGGTTTGTGCCATTGTGCCTTCCTAATGATTAGGCAGAATTAAGTCACAAAAGAAAATGATACTGATTTAACAGACCCAAACTTTTCAGTCCCTTTTTTCTAGGAATTCCATTTATTATGGATATTAACCTCTAACCTCATTTTAATAAATTCCCTGAATTGTTTTCAGAGATAATGTATTTTATTACTAAACTTATTTTGATTAATTTTGTTATAATACCATTTAGCAAGAATCAGAGCTATAATTTCATGTAATTATCCAGACTCAAAAGATTATTAGTCATAACTGGAATTTAGGTGCTTGGTTGAAATCCTAAAAATCAGTTTGGCCCACCTCACTTCAATAAACTTATATGGGGCTCCGTTTGGGAGGTCTTATACTTCAAGTGGGAAGTTTTTCTCTGGGAGTTATTCTTTTCTGGAGTACCCTCCCATTCTAATTTCAAACCAATTGACAATTAGAGGTTTTGCATGGGAAATCCCAGGAAATGGAAGATCTCTGAGATAACTCTGGACTCAAGGAAAACAGGATCCAAATCATAGACCTGCATGGATATGAGACCAAAACACCATTCACCAGCACCAAAGAGCAAACGCTTGCATTATTCGTGTTTTACTCCATTGCCTGCTGCCTTTGGTAGAGTTGGTATGAGATCCAACAAGTTTGAACTGGCTCTTGTCTATCTCTAGCTTTTCCACTTCTTGTTTTCAGTTGCCTCATATCTTTTCCTTTCCCTAATTCTATTCTCTATATTCCTTTTCTCTCTCCTCAGTCCATGCATCTGCTGCCTGCCTGTGCTCTCTTTCCTCTCTACTTCCACAGTCTCATTTTTCCAATTAGTTTATGCTCAGGCCTAGGTACTTGGAGCCATTTTAGTAATTAAAGTTGGTGGTCAAGCAGGTTAGTTTAGGTGATGTCCTCCCACAATTCTCCAGCTGACTTAAAGTGTTTAAATTGCTTATTTCTAAACTGTAAATGCAGGGTTTTATTTTCATAGGTTGCCTTGGCCTGCAGTTGAATAAACTGCCTAAAATCCAAAATGGTCCGATTTTTAAATAATCTGGTATTTAAAATGTATCAGAGGGCATTTGACGTCTAGCCTCCATTTTAATAGGTTCCTTGTTTCCTATGGCTTCGGAAACAATATATTTTAACAAACTACTATTTCAATTAATTGTTACAAATCCATTTAGCAAGTACTAGAGCTATGATCTCATGCCATTAGCCATGCTAAAGAGATTATTAGCCGTAACTAAAATGTATTAGATTTACACATAACTTAACCCTACAGGCAAAATACTAGAAAGCACCAAAATGACTGGGGATGGGAAGATAGGCCCAATTAAAAAACATTCAAGGGTCTCTGAACATTTTAGAAAGGGGTACTCTAAAGGCCCCTCTGTCCATGTGTCTACCTTGGGTCTCCCCACCCCACTCCAGCCCAACATCCCTGATAGAATATAGGAAAACCACCAAAGCTTCCTGTGGACTGCAGTGCAGTGTCTCGTGCCAGTCAAGGACAGAGGCCACCAGGGGAGCCCACAGAGGTCCAGCAGAGCCTCTTCCCCTAGGTGGTGCTGCTTCACCACATTAATGATCCAACCATGGGACACAACTTTTGCTTTGAGATTTCTGTTTTCATTTCCTTGGAAGTCTAAGGATAATAAATCATCTTTACTTACATCTCTTATTTCTCTGAAACAGTTCCCTCTAGTCCCTATAGCATGATACATGGCTAACCTGAATTCCACAGTCCAGGCTTCTAAGAAGGCCATATTTTCCGGCCTGGCATTTAGCTCTTGCTCTGTAGGGCTCAGCCTCCTGATCTTTCTACTAGACTCTGTAGCCCCCTTGAAGTCATAGTAACTATTGATGTCCAGGCAATATCTATTGGTTGCAAACTGAGTCAAGTCGCCTGATACATCCCCAAGTCATTTGCAGGACCCCATTTACCTGAAATACAACATACCAGAAGCACAAACTGAGAACTGTGCAAAGTAAAATCATCCTCATTGGGTTCAAATCCCCCATACCCAACCAAGTTTAGTCACCAATTCATTGAATTTACTTCAAGGCAGACATTTTTAGCAGAGAATTTGTCAGAAGTAGGTAGACATCAGAGCCTCCCTGGGTAGCATGGATAGCCCTGCTGGTGTTCAGCTCTGCCAGAAGTCATCAGATAAAGGGGTCAGAATTCTAATTTATGTCTGGCTGACGGTAACTTCATGGAAATTTATATGGTACAGCATTTATTATTCTGTGGCTTCACCTTCTGATAAAAAGATAAAAATCATTAAATAACATCCACAAAATTATATCACTTTTCTCGATTGTTCTTGGCTTTTTCTAATCACATCAACCCTTAGGATAATGAACAACGTAAGTGGACAATACCATTGAATAACATTAGGCTTCCTTTGGTTTATCTCATAATTGAATCAAGATTCCAGAAGCAATTCTCACATTTTCTTCAATTTTATTTCTGAATTAAAAGTCCATATCTTCACTGACCAATGGTCTTATATTTTTATTCATTTTAATTTTTATTTACTTCTTTTCAAGTAATTTGCTTGTATGGTTCAACACTCAAAAGGTAAAAGATATACTGTGGCAATTATCCC